CATACTAGCAGTTTTTTTCCTTCCGCCTATTCATATTTTTCGTTTATGAATGAGCTTTCTTAAAAAAAATTAATTTGAACGAAACCTTCAGATGGATACCCTGGATTTGAGTCTAGTAAGTATATATCTCACAGACTATATTTATTGACCATCCCACGTACATGTGCCAGTTCTGAGGGGTGCATCAGGTTAATGAATATATCGTATTTTACTATAATTTTTCATTAGAGGTGCCTTTTATATCATGAATATTGCTTTTTATGTTAATTTATATCAAATCTAGGTTATTTGCTTGACATTAATTTTCCGTTTTCCGTTCCGTTCCGCGTTTTGGCAACACCCCATTCATTGAAATCAAAAACCGATGCAGAGAAATATGCATCTTAGTATAGTCTACTTGTGTGCCACGTTATATTGAAATTGGACCAAAACTGTACGAGGAGTAGTATTTTGAAAAAATTGTTTACAGACAGACAGTCAAACAGACGGACGGACGACGGACGAATTACTATTCCCCATTTTAAAAAGTGAGTTATCTCCCCTCAAAATCGGAATGGAACGGAAAACGGAATGGAACGGAAAACGGAAAATGTAATTTCAGATTAAATAATCTTAAATACACAAATTTTATCAGAAACGGTAAATTTATGCATAATGGGGAATTGCATAAGCTCTTCTGGTCTCCGACCAGTAAAGCTAAACACCAGGATAACGGGCAGTACTATTCTCAAAGTTCACACTTCTTTCAAACCACAGGAGTCTGACGTTTTTCTCGTCTTAAAAAAACAAAAAAACAAAAAAAAAACAGAAAAAAATTTCCCCATCCTCTAGGTTTGGCCAGAAAACTTTTGCGACTAATACAGTATCTAGAGTGTTTGTGTTATATGTTTAAGTTTTAAAAAAATGCACTTTCTTCACGACTACGGGCCGTGCATGGCCCTTTTTCCACCTCGACAGCTCATTCTGGACTCCATGTCACTAAACCGGAGGCGAATCCCGCAGTGAATATTTGACGTAATTGAAGAAAAGAAAGAAAAATGCAAAAAAAAAAACTCCATGTACAATATTACGTTACAATATGTGTTCAATTAGAAAAATGTATTTTTTAAAACAAAATATCCGAAGTGTTTGTGTCATTTATTTAAGGCGAAAAATCCAATTTGCTTCACGAGTATGGACCATGCATGGCCCCTTTTCCGCCTTGACGTCTCATCCTGGACACCATGTCACTAAACCGGAGGTGAATCCCGCAGTGAATATTTGACGTAATTGAAGAAAAGAAAGAAAAATACAAGTAAAACTTCATGTACAGTATTATGTTACCATATGTGATCAATTAAAAAATGTATTTTTTAAAACAAAATAATTCTTTATCAGGTCGCTAAGTCTAGCTGTCTGGCCCTTTGTTGACTGGTCTATTCTTACATGAATGCCATGCCTGACTTAAAGTCCAAGGATGACAGTGAATTGTACAGAGTGAAAGATGGCCTTATATTTCATTAGTTCCCAAACAATTTTGTAGAGCCAAAACTTCCTTTCAATTAATTAAGTATTACAAGATTAAATATGATATGAGCAGTTTTGAACATATGGTCAACCACTGCATATATCCTATGTTACATTAATGCTGTTATATGCAGATCAGATTAATATCCCCTCGCTATGTTATACGGGGTTGGAGGGGATATAGTAAAGCAAACGAGTGTGTTGGCTTGTGAGCGAGTTGGCGCTGTACAAAATGGAAGTGACGTAATTTGCATCGGGATCGGAATGATCTGATTAGTTTATATGCTTTTTACGAAGGGATGCGCCACCTTGAAATATCCTTTTTAGCTCTATTGGTCAGAGACCAGAAGAGCTTATGCGAAAGTAATGCGTCCGGCGTCCGTCCGTCTGTCTAAACAATTTTTCAAAATCCTACTCCTCCTACAGCTTTGGTCTTATTTCACTACAACTTGGCACACAAATAGACTACACTAAGATACATAATTCTGTGTATCGATTTTTGATTTTGATGAACAGTGTTGCCGTGGTTACTAATCATAGAAATTTCTGTGAAATACTTTCAAAATGCTACTCCTCCTACAGTTTTGGTCTGATTTTAATATAACTTGGCACACAAGTAGACTACACTAAGATACATATTTTATTATATGGGTTTTTGATTTCGATGAACTGTGTTGCCATGGTTACTAAAAATAGAAATTTCTGTGAAATACTTTCAAAATGCTACTCCTCCTACAGTTTTGGTCTGATTTCAATACAGCTACTTTCAATATGCTACTCCTCCTACAGTTTTAGTCTGATTTCTTTATAACTTGGCACACAAGTAGACTACACTTATATACATAATTCTGTGTATTGCTTTTTTATTTCGATGAACGGTTTTGCGTTTGTTTCTAAAAATAGACATTTCTGTGAAATACTTTTCAACTGCTACTCCTTCTATAGTTTTGGTCTGATTTCAATATAACTCCTACAGTTTTGGTCTGATTTCATTATAACTTGGCACACAAGTAGACTACACACTAAGATACATAATTTTGTATATTGCTTTTTTATTTCGATGAACGGTGTTGCCTTTGTTTCTAAAAATAGAAATTTCTGTGAAATGCATTCAAAATGCTACACCTCCTACAATTTTGGTCTGATTTCAATATAACTTGGCATACGAGTAGACTACACTAAGATACACAATTCTGTATATCAATTTTTGATTTCGAGGAATGATGTTGCCATGGTTACTAAAATTGAAAATACTCTTAAAAGTCTATTATTACTCCTACAGCTGTAGTCTTATTGCAGTATCTTGCCACAAAAAAGCTCAATCAAGCATCATTATTCTATTTATTGCTGTTGTAAAGTTTTAAGTCCCAACTGCTACTTTTGTCTTCATTTGTTATAAGTACAAACCAGTAGAGCTTCAGTCTCCACAGAGACTTCTGGTTTTCTAGAAGCGGTTGCACGAAACGTTCTTCAAAACAAATCAAAATATAATTTATTTTTCTGTTTAATTTAAGTTGAAGTCGGAATGTTGCGTGATTGTACTGCTCCAAAGCACTTGGTGTTTAAAGAGAGTGTCAATGTTATTCTCATAAAAAAAAATTGGTGGACAAGTTAATACCTCAGCATGACAACTTTTTGAACGAGGTGGACGTCTTTTCTTCTTTGCACTTTGTTAAATGGGAGTTGCACTTGGCAGAGCAAACAGAAAAGTGGATTTAGAGTTTGAATTTTATTTCTACAGCTACATTTACCAAACATCCCGATGAGGTTTTTGAGTTTTATGAAAGAACGTTTACACACTTTTCCCACAGATTTGCATTGTTGTGAAAAAACTAACGATATCAAAACATTCCTCACACACTTTCAAGGTCGCCCGCATGGCGCAGTGGGGAGTAAGGAGTTGACCTTAAGTCGCGGGTTCAAATCCCACTGTAGGACGTACAAACAAGTCCTCTAGACAAGACCGTATTAACCAAAGTCCTATGTCGCAGTAAATGCTGGCACGAAAAAAGATCCCTTTCCACTCAATGACCTCGATGCCGAGTATAGTCAAATTTTTTCAACTCCACCAGCAAGTGACGGCTTTTCCATATCAGTTCGAGAGGGTCGTTATATAACATACAAAAAAACGCAAAGTTACAGGTTAAGCCTTCTGCAGAAGAAGAATCCTGATTATCTGGAAAAACTACAATTGGAATCACCTAAGGATATACCATAGCTTATAACAGAGAACCAAAAATTTCCATTAATGGTGAATCATTATGATGGTTCCACTGTTAACGATTTTGTAAAGCATACATGAATTTATATTCCACAACTATCAAAATCCGTATGTATTAAAATTCATCATAATATACAGCAGTAAAAACACCCGATTCTACACTGACAGATTTCTCGATATCCAGAGGAGATCATTAATTAAGTGAAAATAAATGATAAACACTTATTATCTCATGATAATGATAAACACTTATATTATCTGGGGCATACTGCGCATTAGATTAACTTACGCTTTATCCACGGGTAGATTCTTTATCAATAACTTTTCCGCGGTTCTGACACGATCCCTCGCTCCAAGATTTTATTTTATTAAAATATTTATTTGTGAAAATTATGCCGTTATAAAATATTAAATGATAAAGAGCAATGATATCGTTAAAAAGCAAAGAAAAAGACTCGTATATCTCAAAGAAGTGTCTTATTTAATTTATCAAGGAACCTATATTGGCTACTTGAAGACAGATGTTAACCCCCCCCCCCTTTTAAATCGTTTTCGAAGAAAGTAAAGCCTAGCAGTTAAGTTGTTGTTATAAGATTCCTTTAACATCTTCAATAATGTTTTCCAATATTGAACTGTGTATGCCTAACTAGTAATGTAGGTGTAACTTACCATGGATCAACAATGAATCTACAAGTTGCCTAGCACGTTTTGAACTGCCACCGAACACAGAGTTAATTTTCACAATCCCATGATCCTTACAACTTTCAGTCAGAATTTCGTTTGATATAGAGCTCCAGCAATTGTCACATTATGTTTTCAAAGACGCAGATAGCAAAAATTCTAAATTTTGAACACGATCTACTTTCTTTCGAGGCATGTCAACATCAACGGTGCTACGTCATCAAATTATACGTTATCAATTTGAATTAGCAATCATTCCTGTAGTTTCGCAGGGGAAATCTCGAAGTTTTGATAAAACATCTATAATTGTGTGATTTGATATTGGCTTTACCCAACTCGTTGAAATGGTGTATATTCGCTCGACAAGCCTCGCGAATATATACACTATTTCAACTCGTTGGATAAAGCCAATATCAAATCACACAGTATAGATATCCTCTATTTAAACAGACATAAATCTTCGACAACTGTGATATCGATTTGTAATAAATTTTATTCTTTGAATTATCCTTCTTTGATGGTAGTATTCTGTAGTATTGTAAAAAGTGGTCATTAGGCCCGAGTTTCTTATTTTCTGTTTAACGGGAATTTTTCTAAAAAAGTTGGGTCGAGGGGACGAAATAAAAATAAAAGATCAAAATGTTATGAGTCGGGACCAAAATAAAAATAAAATGTAAAAAAAAATGCTTCTTTTTTTTTAACTACACAAAAACAATAAAAATCTGCTTTATTATTGTTTTATTAGGATAAGACAGACATAAATCTTAATTTCTCCGTTTTTTAATTGCATTCCGAGTGGGAATTTGCTTCCCAGTATTTAGACAACTTCTACATATCGGTCTGACTATTGCAAAGTTCTCTTGTAGTCTGCGGATCTCTTCAGAGTTGACAATTTCCAGGTCACCACAGTGAAAGCATACAGTATCGAATAATTGCAATTTTCCTGTCACATAAAAAGTACACAGCTAATGTAGAAGGTAGAAAAACACAATATTTACATGATTCACTTTTTATTGTACAGACAAACAATAAATCAATTTATAAATTGTGAACTTAATATTAAAACATCTGAGTGATACGTTGTCTCAATGGGGGAAGAGCAGGTGATGTTCTGTCTTCTTCTTCTTCCTTCTTCCTGTCTAGTGAAGGGCCGCTGCTGCGGCATTTCCTCACTTTGGTTAAAAACGTGTACGTGAGGGGGAGTCCACGCGTCTATTTACAATTTAAAAAACTGATAAAAACATGTCCTGCTTTGTTTATGGTGCTTTGTATCCCTGAATCCTGGTCTTAAAGGACTCCAGGGATATGGCTGTGATGGTGTCTTCTGGCAGCTGGTTCCATATCCTGATGGTAGTAGGAAAGAACGATTCCTTGTAGACGTTGGTACGGCAGAATGGGATCCTGTACCGCTGTTGGTGTCCCCTTGTGGCTGCTCCTGTTTGGCTGAATTGGGGAGGCAGGTCTATGGCAACAAGGGAATGGATGACACGGTACATCATAATAGCCTTTGCTTTAATTCTGCGTTGTTGTAGACTTTCCCATTCTAGCCTGTCAATCATCGTTGTGACACTACTGGTGGTGTTGTAGTTATTGGTCACGAACCTAGCTGCCCTTCTTTGCACAGCTTCTAGTTTGTCAATGTTTTTCTTTGTGTGAGGGTCCCAGACGGTGGATGCATATTCTACCTGGGGTCTGACCAATGTCTTGTAACACTTGTCCTTTATGTTACTGGGACAGGACGAGAGGTTCCTCCTTAAGAAGGCAGTGGTGTTGTTTGCCTTCTTGCATACACTATCAATATGATGGTTCCACGATAGGTTGTTGGAGATGTTGACCCCTAGGTACTTGGCCTTGGTGGTAGTGGCTAACTCCTTCCCATGGATGTAATATGGGGTAATGCGTTGCTTCCGTTTGGTGGTGATTCGGATAACCTCGCACTTGTCTGGGTTGAAATGCATTATCCAGTCTATTTCCCAATCTTGGAGGTTGTCAAGGTCCATCTGGTGTAGTCTGGCATCAGCCTCTGTAGTGATGGTCCTGTACAGAAGGCAGTCGTCCGCAAATAACCTGGCCTTGGGCCTCACTCTGGAGGGTAGATCGTTTATGTATGCCAATAGCAATGGGCCGAGGACCGTTCCTTGGGGCACTCCAGATGTAACCAGTGCGGTTGGTGAGAAATGGCCCTCGACCAATACTTTCTGCGTTCGTCCAGATAAGAAACTCCTGATCCAATTGAGTAGGTTGCCTCGTACTCCGTAGTGGTCTAGTTTGGCTAGCAATCTCTCATGTGGGACCTTGTCAAATACTTTGGAAAAGTCCAGTAGCACTGCATCAACCTGGGTGTTGTTTTCAATACTCAGGGCGAGGTCCTGGATTGTTGTTATTAGTTGGGACTCACAGGATCGCTTCTTCCTGAACCCATGCTGGTAGTCGGTTAGGATACTGTGATGCTCGAAGAAATTCATCAGGTGGCTGTGGATGATGTGCTCTATTACCTTGCAACACATAGAGGTCAGGGACACAGGACGATAGTTTGCAGGCTTACTCTTATCACCCTTCTTGAATATAGGCGAGACATTCACGGGCAGTTTTCCAGTCCTCAAGTGTTTGACCTTGGTCAATGGATGCCTGGAAAATTTTGGTGAGTGCTGGTGTAACTGGGTGAGCCATCTCTTTCAGAAATCTAGTGGAGATCTCATCCGGGCCAGTCGCCTTATTGGGGTTGAGTCCTTGCAGGAGCTTCAGTACGCCTCTGTGATCCTGATATCAGGTGCCGATGGGGTGGAACTAGTGCCTAGGGGTGGGATATCGGATGTATCCTCTGTGGTGAACACTGACGAAAATTGTTGGTTCAGAAGAGAGGCTATTGTTTCTGGATCTCCATGAAGGTTCCCATCAGATAGTAGAGGAGCAATCCCAGCACTGTCGCACTTCTTACTCTTAATGAAGGAGTAGAGTTTCTTACTGTTGGAATCCTCCTGCACCATGTCTGATACGTATGAGTTATAGGCACTCTTACATTCATGTTGGGTTGATTTCTGCAGGGGTCTGTATCTCTGACGATCCTTATCCTTGCCTGATCTTTTATATGTGTTGTAGGCTCTTCGTTTTTGTCTTGACAGTTGCTTGATCTTTCTGTTACACCATGGTTGGTTAAATCTACTTGAAGTCCACTTGGTTGGTACGTGCTTCCTAATGGTGTTGAGGCAGACTGTCTTGAAGGTGATCCAGAGGTCGTTTATGGGGGTGTCATGTGTGGAGCCATCAAGGTGTGCCAGGTCACTGTCAAGGTCTTCTGCCATCTTCGTTGTGTTGGCTTTCTTCCATAAGTGGATGAGGCGTCTGACAGGTTTCTGTCTGGAGGGCACAATGTTTGTGTCAATCATAACTATGTCATGGTCAAGGTATGCATCTGTTTAGTAAGGAGGGGCGGTTTGTGATGAAGACATCTAAGGTGTTGGTACCTCGGGTAGGAAAGTCTACTATCTGCTCGCCTCCAATGTCAAACACAGTGTTGATAAAGGTGGTGTTGATACCTGCTGGGTTATGTTGGGTAGAAGTGCTGGAAGACCTCCAGTCAATATCGGGCAGGTTGACATCGCCTCCAATCCATATGACTGAACCTTGGTATGTCCTGGCAAGGTTTTTGACAGCTGAACATAACTCCTCTATATATTCCATCTTACTGCTTGGTGGCCGGTAAATTGAACCAATGATCAATGGGTCTTTATTGTGTTTACAGGTGATAGAAGCTGCTATAAATTCAGTGGTGGTATCTGTATCTACTTGGACCCCAGCAATGTTGGATTTGGCTATGATTGCTACACCTCCATGTGGGTCGCCTAGTCGGTCCTTCCTAGTAAGGAACTGATAATTGTCTGGGAGAACTTCCTTTTCCATAATTCCCTCGTGTAACCAGGTCTCTGTGGCGATGATAATGTCAGGATCAGTATCCGACAGTAGGTTCCAGAGATACTCTCTTTTGGCTTTAATGCTTTGGAAGTTAATGACTGTGACGCGCAACTTTCTTTTGTCAAACTCATGCTTGATGGCTCTGTTGGACGCTTGTGATGATGACGTGTGTTGGGGTGGTCCAACTGTGTCAGGATCAAAGTCAGAGGATATGGAGATATGTGATGGGTGTGACGGCGTGCCACAGCTATTCTCCATGTTGGCCAAGTCTATGTCCTCAAAGAGGCTAGTGTTGAAATTTGGGAGCCCACATTGACAACAGTACCAGCTTACGTCGGTTTTACTAAAAGCTTCATAAACACAGGTGTTCATATTAAGACATTTCCTGTGGAACCATAATTCGCAGATGTTACATGCTATGGAGTGTACATCTTTAGACCATTTACATGCTTTGCCACATATTTGGCATGGAAATTTTGGTGGTCTGGGTCCTGGATTAGGGTGGCAGTCATTAGCATTTAACATGACAAGGCAAAATAGATACAAAAGGGCTGGCCTTTCGAAACACTTTTCAGGTGCCATTTTGAACTGATGTTTCTCCACCGTACTTACTGGACATGTGAAAATGCTGGCACATATATATGAAAATTATGAATATTCACTAACCTCACATTCCCATGATTCTGTTCATAATGTTGAGATGAAATAGTTCTAGCTGATATAATAGCTAGGCTAAAAATTATGACTATGTTACTCATGATATTTTCATTTTGTTTTCATTCACGAAATGAAAGTGAAAGTAGTATTGTTTACTTCCGGTTGTAGATTTTCCATATCATTCACTGAAGGAAAACTGTTTCTGAAAATCAAACATTTATGCATCAACATTTGATCTGAATACTATATGATCGGTTTTCCATCGATGAATACTGAACAGAGTTGCAGGTACAGTAGTTTCTCAGAAAAAGTTTTGATAGAGACAAAAGAACCGCCGACTCCCCGTCACGCATGCGCATCAACTTTTACATGTCTACATATTATGACATCCTGGTATTGTCCCCCTGGGAACTAAGGATTACTGCAAATATAAAGTAATTCTTCTTGTACCCGTTCTGCTCTCTTCTCTGTTCTATCCAATTTTCTGGCTGCATATATGACCCTTCTTTTTCCGCACTCTGTACACAACACAAATCCTCTCACCTTAGCTGTAAAATATTATAAGAAATGTCACCACAATACACAATATATAAGTATAATATTTATTAACTAATACATGGTATTTGTTATATTGTATGTGTGCTTACTTCCAACCAAAACAGCTTTCAATTTCTTGTCTCTCTCCGACGATTCTCCATGCTTCCCTATCATACTTGGTCTTTTGATATCATTAGTTTCCGTACCATACAGGTGCGTAAAATCTTTGTACTGCCCATTTTCATCCTGTGTAGGATCTGGCACAAAGTGAAGCCCACGAAACACATCATCTGGAATGCCTTGGAGGATTGAGAATACAATACCCACAGTTGTCTGCAATACACTTCTTGATCTAAAAATTAATTCTCTATCAAAGAAAAGTTGCACTGTGTTAACTCACATAAATTAAATACAATGTATATAAGTATTTGCAGCATGCACTATCGATAAGTATATGCAGCATGCACTTTCGATCTTTTAAATATTTATCAATATATTAAATATAACCAAAAAATCTTTCTTCACTTTAATACACACCTGAAAAGAGTATTGACGGCTTCTGGAATGGGATTCCAGGAAAGTATCAACTGCTTTAGATTGCAAGGTTGACAAATTTGCATCACCTTGAATATTCTCATCCAGAACTTTCAGCAAGTTTCTGGTTTTTACTTCCCAAATTTCTCAGTTTCTTTAGTGAGCATGCAGACTTGACTTGCATTTCACATTCTGGAGACATAGCAGTCCGCTCCAATGCTACGTTTTGTAATGCCAAATTAAGGAGACTCATTCTTCTTTCTGCTGGATTAGCATAACTCCCACAAGGTGCTGTTCGTGCACACACTATCAAATCTAAGTCCAGAGCAATGAATTCCATAAGGGCACAGAGTTTTACTTTAACACTTTTGTACGTTGTCCTGTGGTCTGGTCCACCGTCAGTATAACGAATCAGCACAGGAGTTCTCAGGTTCACATCATCATCCGAGTAGTATTGTCGCATTAATGACACATATTCAGTAGAATGTCGCAGTGGCTTGAAAAACCTTATCTTTTACAGTAACATTGAGAAGTCCATTGTAAAAGGAGTCCTTTGGATTTTCTGGTATGTCATTAACAAAGCAAACAGTAGGAATTATCCCACCAACATGAAAATCGTGGTCCAGTGCTACAACTTTCACGCATCCACCTACAAGTCCACCATGGTGAGCACGTACTCCAGTTGAAACTGGGTGACCAGGTTCCCCCAGAGGTATTGGTATTATGGCCTTATCATCCATGCATTTAAATGTTGAGTAATCACGCATCTGGCAGGCAAATTCTTTTAACATAGAAAAAAGAACTGCACAATAATGGGAGTCTGGGTGCTGCACTCGAACCAATCTCTTTTGCACTGCAAATCTTACATTGTACTGTCCAGTGTAATTCTTGGCTGTTGTGTTGTACACATTTGATGGACTAAAGTTCAGTTTTATCCAAGACACTGATGGAGCCTCTGAACCCTCAGGCAATCTATGCAGTATTTGACTTCTGAGATCATCAAGAGAAATTTCAAATGGTAAGTAAAGTTTATCATTTGAACGTCTTTCATGAACAGCTGCTTTTTCATAAAAAAAATTTCCCAAGCTCTTTCCAGAATGGCTTGAATATCTCTTCTGCAGGTCTGCAATTATTTTTTCTCAAATCGAAGATCAATTCACAATCTTCACTATCCAAAAGAAACTTCATGAAGCGTTCATCAATCTGTGCAGCATTTGCAGAATTGGCCTGATATTCAAACTCTGTGAGATAAGAATACATATTCCTTAATATTGCTGGCTGTAATCTGGTACAGGATTTATAACGATCTATAAAGTCCTTTTGTATTTTTCTGGTTGAAAATTGAATGTTTCTTTTTATTTTGTCAATAACTTGAACTTGCTTAACCGTGTCTCTGCAAGTTGGTCCTGGCATTTTCCACAAAACACATATGTTTCGGAGATAGTTTCCATATTTGAATGAATACAATGCAACAGAACTTGATGAGGAGAACTGTTTTGTCCATTTTCTTCTTTCCTCCTTATCATCAGGTTCAAATCTAATGACATCAATTGGTTGATATTCCGGCAGATCTTTAATGCACGAGTCCAGAGCTTTATAATCTTCAGACACATTTTCTACCGACTCAATGTCTCTGAGTATCCAGTTGTCTTTCAGATCTCTAACTGGCACTGTCCTTCCATGGTTTGCCTTCGTCTTCTTATTGCCATGACATAAATATTCATCATATTTCTTCAGATATGAAATTAAATCTTCTATCGATTTGTACAACTTCTTAAACTGGGGATTCATCATCCATGGAATAGTGAGAAGCGAAAGCAATTTCTGTGCATTTTCCGTCAAGTCAGTGGAAGAAACCTTAATTTAAAAAAAATTAAATCCTATATTCAATCTGGCTACCATTTTGTTACCAATATATTTTGTTACCAATATATTATATGTTTTAAAATCAGTTGTAAACGAGGAAAATAATAGAAACATTTATCCTCTAACTAGTTTTGATTGTAAGCATGTTTTAAATATGGTAAATTCCAATATAAAGTTGTTTTTTTTTTTAATTCATGGATGAAAGGACAACATATTTCTTCAAATTTGGAAGAAAAAAAAATTGTTGGTAATTCTTATTTAGTATATCATTAATTAATTTACACACACTTTTGGATTTTTTTTATGTTGGACTTTCAAATCACGGTACCCAGATAAATCCTTGATGAGCTTCGACAGTTGAAAACCTCTTTTCTGAAATGGATCCAAATACCACAATGTCTGGATTAATGTGGAAACAATGTGGTTACCTACACTGTCAACTTGGTGGTTGGTAAACCAAAAGCTGTGCCTCCTCATTATTGAAATTACATCATTATATAATCTATCCTTGGAAGTACTTTCTTTTCTACAAGATAATAGTAATACCTATTTCTTAATATAAAGGTTTTATAAGAATTTCATTTAATATGAATAATTCTGCTATAATATGACATTTGGAATTTTCCTTTATAGTCCATATAGTACTAGAATTATTTTGATCGAGATATTTTAATATCTTTGTTCAGGATATTGTGTGTAGCTTCTGGTAGCCCTCATAAATACATTAAATATACTTTTCCCCTGGGTTGGTTTGTTGTTGTTGGAATCGTTCTCTACTTTGCACACCGATGCGGAAATCGTTTTACATCTGAAAATTTTATCCATCATTACTGTCCTTGCGTGACTGATTATTAAAATAAGTGTCAAATGAATGTAACTTACATCCATTCAGAGAATTTCAATTTTCTACTATATTCAAAACCGTAGAGAACAGTAAATTGTTTAAATACTGAAGTTTCAAAGACTTGCCCAAAATCTTTGAGGACACGAACGAGTGTCGTATGGTCTATGTCAGTCCCCCCCCCCCCCCCCCCCCCCCCCCCCCCCGCTGCTTTCAATTCTACGTATCTGAACAACATCAGAGTTACCGCATTCTTCCAGCAATACAGAAATGACCCGTCCGAATATTTTCATCAAGATTTGTTTTCACAAATTTGCTCTGACACAATGCAGAGTCAATGCATTTAATGTCAATCTTAGCATACACATGATCCGCCGTTCCCTTTCCCGGGAAACTGTCTGTTTATTAAACTGGTTCTCTTTTAACTCATGATCAGGTAGACGCTTATTTATGTTAAGCTCAGAGGTGTTGAATATCAAACATTTCATTGATTAAGTTGAAAAAATAGAGTATAACGATCCCGATTTTATTTTTAAACACAGGATCGGGGCGAGTTTTGGAAATAAAAATGAGTTCAACGTCTTTTATTTTTATTTGGTTTTTGGAAAAAATTGAGTCGGCGCTTCCCGTTAAACAGAAAATAAAAAACTTTGGCCTTATAATCGTTGTCCTAATTAATAAAGAGTGAGAGAAAGAGATAGGTGTCTCTTTCCGAAGATAAATTACTTCATTAAAGGTTTATCTCCAAATTTATCATGTCGCTTTTGTGGCGCAGTTGTTAAAGCGTTTGCTTTAGAGTCACAGAGTAAGGAACTCTAATCTTTACGTCGCGGGTTCAAATCTACTGTGCGACGTGGAGACTGGCCCTTCCCATTAAATTGTATAAACCGAGGTCCCGTATCTTAGTAGGTGATGGCACAAAAGGATTCCTCAATGCTCTATGCCGAGTAATTGTCTCGAAGGGATACAATCAAACTAACAAGCAAAACACCCCAAATAACTAATCAAAAATATTTTCTAGGATTCAGGCAATGTGCATTGATGGCAAAACGTATACTAGTAGTTTCAAGGACAAATCCTCTCGTCATAAATAATGTTTGTGAGGTATCTATTAACAATATTATTTCACTAGAGAATACTCGGAAGTACCGAAGACATTAGGATACTATCATGTTATAAGTAGTCTTTGAGAAAGTATCACCCTGAAATATTTTTTTTTATATGAGAAAGAAAGTAAATATACGAATTTTACACTTTTTGTAACATTGACCTTGATCTTGCTCAAATAACCTTGAGTAAAGTTCATATCATTCTCTGTTTATAACTTTCCCAATCCTACTGAAGAAATTCCTTCTTTCATAGCTTTCAGATTATTATGTCATGATATGAGAATGAAGAAGAGATTGTTTGTCTGACCCAACATCTGAGTAACGTTTTTTTTTTTTTTTTTTTTTTTTTGTATTTGAGATGTAATACTTGCAGTATATGCACCTTCGAATCTCAGCTTGAAGTTTTAAGGTTAAGTCGTCACTGAGATAACGAACAGTAATCCAGCTCAAAGATCCGTTGAAACAAATAAATCAGAAAAACGGAGCAGAGAAAATAAGGACCTCTTAAAACACCCAAGGTAGGATTGGGTGTCAAGCAGGAGTAAGCAATCCTTGTCGATCGGCTACCCTCGCCGTTTGTTCCATGTCATGATCATCCATGAACTAGATTATTCAGTGTGTGAATAATGGCTTAACAATTGGTAAAGGTTTTCTGTTTGTATGTTGTGTAATGTCCCTCTCGAAGGAATTTTCAACTCATATGAAGACGCCACCGTTTGATGGTGGAGAGCTGCAAATTTTTTATTCTATACTCGGCACTTACGGCCAATGAGCAGTGAGGGATCTTTTTCGTGCCAGCACTTCTTGCGACTTGGAAACTCGGCTTTTACGGTCTCATTCGATGCTAATACTAATGGACGATAGGTGGCCCAATCAACCATGTATAACAGAATTGCGCTAACACAACCTTGAAATGTTTGTTTTGCGATATTCCTATTTACATAAATAGAAAATCCGAGGCATCCGAATGACTTCATTTATAGGTACAGTTATCCCTAAAGTTGATCTAATGCCAGTCTTCATCGACAAGAGTCGCTAGCGTGGCGCAGTAGTTTTTCCGTCTGCTCTACAGTCGCGAAGTAAGGACTTGATCCTTACGTCGCGGGTTCGAATCCCACTGTGGGACCTGAAGACCGGTCCTTGGGATGAGACCGTATAAACCGCGGTCCCCTGTCGCGGTAGGCGCTGGCACGAAAAAGATCCCTCCCTTCTCAATGGCCCTGAGTGCCGAGTATAGGACAACATTTGCAGCTGTCCATCGGCAAGTGGTGGCGTCTCCATATAAGCAAAAATATTT